GAATACACCAAAGTAAAACAAGTGTCTTGATGAAAAAAATGTAGATTTTGCTAAGTAAAGAGGGGATGGTGGCTTCTCTGGGATCTAACACATCCTGGCTCAACAGCAGCTCAACATTATGTCTTAACACACTGGTACTGGTGTTGGGATTTCTGCCCCCCCCCCCCCCCCCCCGGGTCAATAAAGCAGTCAAGCTTCATTATGTTTAAATGTTGAGCATTCTCAACCAACTAATGTCAATGATTAATGAAACAATAAGTTTTATTTTACATTCCTTTAATCATAAATAAAATAAGAGCTTAAACCACGAATTAGTTAAGGCCAGAGGGGGGTGGGGCTAAAGTTGACCCTCCAGTCCCCACACATCCGATCAGAGCCGCCGGAGATGAACAAAAAACCGGACCGAAATCCGACGACCAACCCTGCGTCCTCAAGACATCGCCCGCCAAACACTGAGGTCCACACGCAATCACACGCAAAACTCCAACCCAAACTGCTAAAAGCCAAAAGTCCCCTAGTCGGGAACACCGGCCACACCCAGAAGCCAAATCCTGGCACAGCTGCTCCCCAGCTGCCACCCACAGCTCCATCGCACAGAACCCCGATATCCGCCCCTGCCCCGAGACACAAGGCCAACTCCACCCCAAACTTGACAGTTTTTCGAAAAATGTCGAATTTGGGGCAAAGTCAACCCCACATCCCGAGAACAGAGGCAAATTTACCCAAATCCCGCACAACAGAACCGCGGGTGACAGCCCAAGGAACAACCGCGCTAAGTCCCACCCCCGGGTTGTGGCGCGGCCAGCACTCCCAACCAAGGGACCTTCAACCTTCCACAGTTCAAGTCAAAGCCCCACATGCAACCACATGCAAACCCCAACATTCAGTGCACGACATCTCAAAAATGCAAGGCCAGACCCCGGTCCGGTTCCCCCCCTGCTCGTCCCCACGGGGGGGGGGGGGGGGGGGGGGCGGGGGGGGGATGAAAGACCGCGACCGTAGTAATATGTAATTCGCTATTTTAATTTTTGCGATTTAATAATAGCAAAAATTAAAATAACAGTTAAACTTTACTGTGCTCTGATTTGCTTTCACCTTATTTACCAGGAAAACTCAGTCATAAGATTTATTATGTTTGATAAGATTTGGGTAACAGGCTAGGTTAAGTTACTAATAATATAATCCCACTTTTCTAGACATGGAAGATATCCGGTCTTTAGGTAGGGATGTTAAGAAATTCTCAGAGGAGTTGGACAAATTTGAACAGTATCTTGAAAAGGACACTGAGCCACCTGAGTGCAAGGAAACTATAGAAAACTTCAGGTTTGTGATCAAAAATATCATATAAGTTGCAGTGCAATTATTAAATAGTGCAACTAATTAAATGGCTTTAGTAAATGGTGGTCAAATTCAATATATATGATGATGATAAATTTAGAATCAGCACAATTAACTAACCATTTAATCTATTAACTATCATGCACTATTTCAGATCTGTAGTCAAGGGAACTCTATCAAGTCTTACTACTGAGTATTCAAACATAAAGTCTCAAGTTGATGCAACGTCTTCCACCTCAGAGAAATTTAGAAAGTTGCTGTCAAGTATGGAAAGTTTAGTCGAGAAAAGGGAAGTTCAGTTGAGCAAATACGGTTTCAAACCTACCAAACAAGAACTTCCCCCTTACCCTGGCTTGAATTCTTTTAAAATTTCAAGACCTGAAGAGGGAGTTGCAAAAAAGATGGGAACTATTTTACAGAAGATTCCACATTTTACTCCTTGCAGTAAAGTATCTGCATGTAGCTCCACTACTGTAGGTGAAGCTCTCATAGCAAAATACACCCCTGCCAAAAGGAAGTTTACAGAGAACCAAGCTCCTGAAAGTGCATCCAGTGTGCAATCAGCGAGGTTATCTAGATATGGTGGAGACCGTGGGGAAAATACTTATGTTATTTCTTCACCATCAAAGGATATAAAAGAAGGCCAGATAAGTGATACAACCAGGGCCAAGAAAACAACATTTGATGTCGAGGATCGATTTGCTAAATATTTAAATAAGAAGGATATGACAACTGAAGAAAAGGCTTCTACGATAGAGTCAAGCCAAGGGTTGGCTAAAAGGATGGAACGTTACTCAATTATGCCTAAACAAGATTATTCTCCTTTTGTCATCCCATCCCAACCCCTAGAAGAGGTAAAACAAGTCAAGGATGTTGGACGCTTATTATCCAAGTATGATGTTAGGCCAAGTAAAACGACCTCGACCTCGGTTAAAAACCCTGCAGTTAAAAAAGCTGAATCTGTTTCCCCTTCTCCTGCCCCCGTTACTCCTCCTGCTGTTGTTCAAAGGAATGCTCTCTCCTCCCAAGAAGATTCGTTTATTGGTGTTGTTCCAAATAATCCACGACAATCACTAGCCTTTCAAGATGAAGATTTAGAGAGGACTGTGAACGTGCCATACCTCTTTAAAAAGCCTGCCAAGCCAACAAATTTCCTATCAACACCAGAGATGAAAGAGAATAGAGTTGAGGTAAAGACCCCAGTTTGTAACAAGTATGGTGGCGCCTCCCCCAATTTAGGTAGTGTTTCAACTGATTTGTTTACTAAGTCGGAGAGTAAGTTACCTGGACTCAAGCCAACTCCTATCAATGAAAATAAAGATGAGGTTAATAGTAGTGATAGCAACAATGTGAACAATGAAAATGTAGACTCGAACTATGGTGCTGCATCTGAGGTTACGTCTGTTTCGGCTGTTAGCAGTATTGTTTCTAAGTATAGTAAAAAGTACAATTGAAAGTTACTGTATTATGTTATTTCTAGTTATGGCTACCTACCAAAAATATGGAATTATAAATCTGTGTTGCATGTTTATTGGGACCATTGAAATGTGGAAATTTGTATTCTATCCAAATATTAGCTATACTAGATACAATCTATTATATAACTTCAAGAATGAAACTTCTTTTAATAATGTTTGTTATAATGTACTATAGCTATGCAATATGCAAATGAGATCGTAATTCTTTTTTGTCTTATTTTGAAATTGAATTTTCTCTGTCGGAGAGTGAAGACACGTTCATTCTTCATATTTCAATTTCATGAAATTGCAACCGGCCGCATCCGTGGTTCGTTTTTACGTTCTTTTTAAGCTTTTGATTTTGAAAATGATGTTCATTATAATATTTATTCAATTCATAGAACATAATATATTGTATAGCTCAATTGAAAACTTCCTCAACTTCAAAAACATTGTATTACTGAATTTATTTTCTTTACATTAATGGGGGGAGGGGGGGGGTGTCACGTCCGTCTATGTCCGCTTGTCTCATAGAATCCAAAAAGGACAGGACATAGGCGGACATAGGCGGACATAGACGGACATAGGCGGACATAGGCGGACATAGGCGGACATAGACGGACATAGGCGGACATTAATGGACACCTAAATTGCTAAATAAAATGTTCAATTTTTGCTGTTATAGGGGGATCATGTTTTTTGTCCGTTCGGTACCCTACATTTTCAAAACGGACAAAAAATAGAGCGGACAAAAACGGACAAAAATGGACAAAAACGGACAAAAATGGAAATAGCATTTAGATGCTTCCTCCTCCTACTCTTCCTCCTCCTCCTCCTGGGTCTTCCTGATCTTCCTCAGTCCTCTTCCTCCTCCCTCCTCAGTCCTCCTCCTACTCCTCCTCCTCGTCCTCAGTCCTCCTCCTCCTCCTCCTCCTCAGTTCTCCTCAGTCCTCCTTCTCATTTCTCCTAAGTCCTCCTCCTGAGTCCTCCTCCTGAGTCCTCCTCCTGAGTCCTCCTCCTGAGTACAGTCCTCCTCCTCTTCCTTCTGAGTCCTCCTCCTGAGTCCTCCTCCTCCTCCCTCTCAGTCATCCTCCTCAGCCATCCTCCTCAGTACTCCTCAGTCCTCCTCCTTCTCAGTCATCGTCAGTCCTCCTGATCCTCCTCAGTCCTCCTCAGTCCTCCTCCTCCTCCTGGGTCCTCCTCCTCCTCCTCCTCCTGGGTCCTCCTGGGTCTTCCTGATCCTCCCCAGTCCTCTTCCTCCTCCCCTCCTCAGTCCTCCTCCTACTCCTCGTCCTCAGTCCTCCTCATCAGTCCTCAACAGTTCTCCTCAGTCCTTCTCCTCCTCCTCCTCCTGGGGCCTTTCCCTGGGTCCTCCTCCTGGGTCCTCCTCCTCCTGGGTCCTCCTTCTCCTCCTCAGTCCTTCTCCTCCTCCTCCTCAGTCCTCTTCCTCCTCTTCCTCCTCCTCCTCCTTCTCAGTCATCCTCCTCAGCCATCCTCCTCAGCCATCCTCCTCAGTCCTCCTCCTTCTCAGTCCTCCTCAGTCCTCCTCCTCAGTCCTCCTCCTCCTCAGTCATCCTCCTCAGTTCTCCTCCTCCTCCTCCTCCTAGGTCCTCCTTCTGGGTCCTCCTCCTCCTGGGTCTTCTTGATCCTTCTCCTCCCTCTCAGTCATCTTCCTAGTTCCTCAGTCATCCTCCTCAGTCATCCTCCTCAGCCATCCTCCTCAGCCATCCTTCTCAGCCATCCTCCTCAGTACTCTTCAGTACTCTTCAGTACTCTTCAGTCCTCAAAATGTTTGTCCGCTAATGTCCACCAATGTCCGCTAATGTCCACCAATGTCCATCCAAGTCCGCCAATGTCCGTCCGGGTCCGTTAATGTCCGTCCGAGTCCGCCAATGTCCGTCCGAGTCCGCCAATGTCCGTCCGAGTCCGCCAATGTCCGTCCGTGTCCGCCAATGTCCCAAAAAACACGTCCGTTGTCTCATAGAATCCAAAAAGGACAGGACATAGGCGGACATAGACGGACATGACACCCCCCCCCCCCCCCCCCCCCCCCCCCCCATTAATTTTTCGACCAAATCAGAAATATATTAGATTCGTGACCTATTCATGATAATTAGTTGAGCGTTATTGACTAACTCACTGCTATCACCTTGCTACAGTATTACCTATTAACAGTATCACCTAGTAACAGTATCACCTAGTTACAGTATCAACATGTCATGCAGGACGGAAGCAACACCCCTTCATCTCTAGCACCCTGGAACAGGAAGCGACCCAACTCTGACAGTGACGACAGCTCCTCTGGCCCTCCCTGCAAAAGATTCCAAACCTCACTCAACCTCGCCAAACCTCATTCAGCTCCCCTTAACCTCGCTTCTAGCTCTTCTGCTGGATTCCAGGTTTGTGTTTATTTGTTTCCTTTTTTTGGTATTCAATTTTTGTTGGGAAATCAGACGACTGTAATAATAATACAGTATAACCCCAATTTACCACAAACACCGATATACCGGAGGCATTTCCCCCAATTAGGGTGGGCCAGAATTCACTAAACACACCTAACCCTTGAATAACTCGTGTAATTCGTGCCAGAATTGCTCAACGAACAGCTGTCAGTTCAGTAATGGATTAACTTATGATTCATGCCGTATTCGATTTCGTCGTCTCGCTTCCCCGACTTTCGCTTTTAATTGAACAATCTAATTTATCGGGAAGAACTTCACGTTTTATTTAGATATAACCAGGAGCGTCGTGTACAATTATATAATATGTGGACAATCTGAATCAGACAGTGCCGAGTAAGGTAGGTATCATCTTGAAGATATAGTGGAGATAAATGTGAACTACGAAAAACCCCTATTTTCCGCGGACCCCTATTTCCCCCGGCTTTTCTCCTTCCCCCAATAACAATAGTTAATTAAAACAAAATGATTAAGAGCAAGTGCAGCTATAATCATCAAATTTTTACAATCATCATTTGAATATCTCGATACTAATCTTAAATCTACCTAAACTTCTCATTAAGAGCCGCCCACAAGTCACTCCAAATAACGTTATACCCTATCTTCTGTATTATATTATACAGAACATACCGTCTTACACATAGACTCCAGGGGTCTGTTGCATTGATATTTATTATTTTATGATTTCGTATATACTTTGGGAGTCCTGGCGTGCAGCTAGCAGGAGTTGCATTCTGTGTGCACGGCGATAAGACCTCCCTCTTAAAGTAGGAGGCCAGAAACCGTTGACCAGAACAGAGAGAGAGAGAGAGAGAGACCGTCTTACACAATTGGTACATAAGATCTCTTAATGAGATATATTATACATGAGACGAGGCGTACAACGTACTGCACGTTACGTACATCACATTGCAGACCATGTACTTTGGTGTAATGTTTAATAAATGAGGAAACTTGTGACGGTAGAAGCTGTTACACGATAACAATGTGACATTTGTCAAGAGTAGTTGACAGCTGTGAACTGTGTGATAACATTCAAGAGGAGAACGCACTGTTTGGTATTTCATTAAATACTATATATATATATTACTATTAACCTTACACAATTCGTCGTGTAAATTATTTTTTGAGTGGAATTTGGGAAGAAGAATTCTGGGCTCAAATTATCTGACCTTAAATATACATAAATCATTATGCACTCATTTACATCATTGTACTGAGTGTACACTGTACAATATAACGATAGTATAAAATATACAATATTTTATACATATTTAATATTTATACACATTTAATGTAAATATTTTTATCATTTATAGTAAATAATAACACCACTACACGCAGGGAGCTGGAGGCAGCAGTAAAAACCCGAACTCTACACAGTACTCGCAGATAAATGAGGTTCTGAAGAAAGCACACTTTTACAGCCGAGCTATGAGAGCCAACATCAACAACAGGAGAACACAATAACAAACACAATAATGACATAATGTTCAAACAATCGATCACGTGATATTGATCTTCAAAGTCGAATTCATTTGTTTATTTGATTGCACTCTGATTGCAGTTAAGATTGCACTTTGATTGCACTAAAATTGCGCTCAGATTGCACTCTGCTTGCACTCAAGATGTGCTCCTCTAGATCCTTTACCACACAGAACTATGTTTGTGTTCCGTGAATACTCTGAATAGTTTACTGTGTTTACTAAGCGGCTGAGTATATGGGCGTGAATATGTTGCTCCAGTGTTAATAGCAGCTATCTCTATTGAATTAGTAAAGTGTACACAACAGTTCTCAGTGTATTTATTGTACTAATCTGAATAATACGTGTTATCGGTAATTGCTGCTCAGTTAAATTGGATGGAACTGCTAATTATTTGTTTCACTAACAGTTCATTTTTAGAAAGTTTAATTGATAATTATGTGATATAATAATACTATGTTGTTGTTAATATTTTAATGGGTATATGTCATTAAAGGCGTAAGCTAACGCATAGCGCTGCGCGATGAAATGTCTTACATAATTTGAATTTATAATTCTATGATTTGTTTGTACTCGGAATGTTGGAATTTGTTTGCGGATATTTTTTTAAATGATCTGGAAAATATCTTGTCACTTAACTACCCTTGTCACTCCCATAATATGATAAATAATTGTAAAGCTTATTTTTGTCAGATAATAAATTTGTAGCCGCTTCATTAATGATTCAAATTATTTGTTAGATCCTATAATTAATATAAGACACGCCGTAGAAGTGTTGAGGTACCTCATACCTCGGCTGCGAAAAGCATGCCGCTGAAACCTCGAATTTACAATAAGAATGCGAAATTTAGAGGCTAGCGTTTCTCGGCTGTGCTTTAGTAATCTTGTAAGAAGCTTAATTTTGATATTTAGAGTAACATTTGTGAGTTTGTCATGCATTTACAATGGTCTATCTTACCTAACTACATGTCTTCTTTGTAGCGATGCCATTCTTCAGCAAAACGAAAAAAGGAGGTTCTGGCAAAGGTCCAAAAAGACGTGCAGGATCATTATCAAGGTAATAAAATAATACAATTAATTAATTACTTTTACTTAGAAACTTAAACAGTTCACAACAGCCATAAGAGGTTACAAGATTTAGCTGATTGGTTGAGTTTTGGTTGATTTTTGCAGGAATGGTTTTCTGTTTTCCAACACCTGATTATCAAAATAAAGTTATTTACCACGTGTTAACACCTCCCTCTAGTTTAACATCACAAGACGAGATGAAGACAGACGATAACATCGCGATCAAGTTGCAGTTAGACGAAAATGAACTGATATTTGACTCTAACGCTGGGCAATGGTACTCAGGTAATTATTAGTCTAATTATATAATTACACATGGTTACTAATTGATTACTCGGTTAGAGAATCACCCTTTTGCAACTACTGAATCATTTCACATATTTATATCTGTGAATCTTTATAGGGGGGGGGGGGGTGTCATGTCCGCCTATGTCCTGTCCTTTTTGGATTCTATGAGACAACGGACGTGTTTTTTGGGACATTGGCGGACACGGACGGACATTGGCGGACACGGACGGACATTGGCGGACTCGGACGGACATTGGCGGACTCGGACGGACATTGGCGGACCCGGACGGACATTGGCGGACTTGGATGGACATTGGTGGACATTAGCGGACATTGGTGGACATTAGCGGACAAACATTTTGAGGACTGAAGAGTACTGAAGAGTACTGAAGAGTACTGAAGAGTACTGAGGAGGATGGCTGAGAAGGATGGCTAAGGAGGATGGCTGAGGAGGATGACTGAGGAGGATGACTGAGGAGGATGACTGAGAGGGAGGAGAAGGATCAGGAAGACCCAGGAGGAGGAGGAGGAGGAGGAGGACCCAGAAGGAGGACCTAGGAGGAGGAGGAGGAGAACTGAGGAGGATGACTCAGGAGGAGGAGGACTGAGGAGGCAGTGGCGTAACGTAAGGCCCCGCAGACCCCGCTATGCGGGGGGGCGCCGTGAGAGGGGGGCGCCAAAATTCTGCCGCCCCTCCTCATAATTTGGCGCCCCCCCTTAGAAATAAGGCGCCCTGGTAATAACAAACTACTTGGTATATAAGGTCCAAAAAGTTGTTAAATATGTGCTACTGTTGAAGATTTGTAAAATTTAAATTAAATTGTGCAAAGCAAGCAGCCAGCGCGCGCTAAAAACAGTGGTAAGTGATAACGATATTGCAATTTTTATACAAACTGGTATACAAAATTCGCGCGTGAGAATTTGGATTTTTTTGGGGAAAATTTTAGATATCAATGTTTTTCTTTTAAAATTGATCCCCAAATTTTATCCACAATTATTGAGTATTTTTTGTACTTCACAAATAAAATCAACATCTAACAGGTGCTAAAAAATAAAAATATGGAAAAAAAAAATCAATTTACATTTTTCAAAACTACATAAAATTTACTTAGCGAAGTTAATTCCAGCAAAAATTCTTAGGTTTTAAAGGCATCAAATTGGGCCCGTTTTTTGTCAAGTTGTCTTCTGTTAAGTTCTTGATTTAGTGATGGCTAAATGTAAACTGCTTAATCTATCGTTTGTTTCCCCAAAGTGCTGGAGTTTTTAAATACAGCAGCGCAAGCAAGACACGACTACAACCGCAAACCGAGACCAACCAGGAGACCCGAAAAAAAACGCAACACAACACGAACCACCGCCCCCCCCGCACCCACGGACCCCCCGCTCCGCCACCGACAAGCCCGAACGCCGACCGACTCAGCACTCGAGAAACGAGCCCCCGCGCCCCGCTGCCCCCCACGAGCCCCGCGCCCCCGCGCCACCCCGTCCCACCCTCCCTCTCCCACTCACCCACCTCCGCCTCTTCTACCTCCTCCACCTCTCTCCCTCTCTCCCTCTCTCCCTCTCTCCCTACTGCCCTCCTCTCCGTCTCCCTCGCTCCCTCTCGCCCTCTCTTCCCCTCGCTCCCTCTCGCCCTCTCGCACCTCATCTCCCTGCTCTCCCTCTCTCCCTCTATCACGCTCTCCCTCTCTCCCTCTCTACATCTCTCCCTCGCTCCTCTTCCCTCGTCTCCCTCGCGCCCTCTCTCCCTCTCTCTCCTCTCTCTATCTCTCTCTCTCTATCTCTCTCTTCTCGACTCTATATCTCACGCTCGCTTCTCTATCGACTCGTCCTCTCTCTACTCTCTCTTCTCTCTCTCTCTCTCTCTCTATCTCTCTCTCTCTCTCTCTTCTCTCTCTCTCTCTCTCTCTCTCTCTCTCTCTCTCTTTGTTTTCTGGTCAAACGGTTTCTGGCCTCCTACTTTAGAGAGACGAGGTCTTATCGCCGTGCCCCACAGATGCAAACTCCTGCCTAGCTGCACGCCTGGACTCCCAAAGTATTATATCGAAATTCATAATATAATAAAATATCAATGCAACAGACCCTCCTGGCGTCTGGTGTAAGACGGTTTGTTTCTGTATAATTTAATACTGTAGATTCGAAAGGGTTATAAAACCCCATTATTTGGAGTGACTTGTGGGCGGCTCTTAATGAGAAGTTAGGTAGATTAGATAAGTATCGAGATATTCAATCTGATGATTGTAAAACATTTGAGATTATAGCTGCACTTGTGCTCTTAATCATTTTGTTTTATTTAACTATTGTTATTGGGGAAGGAGAAAATGCCGGGGGGAAATAGGGTGTCCGCGGAAAATTAGGGTTTTTCGTAGTTCACATTTATTTCCACTATATCTTCAAGATGATACCTACCTTACTCGGCACTAGTCAGATTCAGGATGGTCACATATTTTTTAATAATTGTACACCGGTCGCTCCTGGGTATATCTAAATAAAACGTGTAGTTCATCCCGATAAATTAGATTGTTCAAATTAAAAGCGAAAGTTCGGGGGAAGCGGACGACGAAATCGAATACGGCATGACTCATAAGTTAAATCCATTTACTGAACTGACAGATGTTCCGTGAGCAATTCTGGCACGAATTACACGAGTTATGCAAAGGGTTAGGTTGTTTAGTGAATTTCTGGCCACCCTTATTGGGGGAAATGCTCCGGTATATCGGTGTTTGTGGTAAATTGGGGTATACTTTATTATTATTACAGTCGTCTGTTTGCCCAACAAAAATTGTTTACCAAAAAAAGAATACCTAATAAACAGAAAAACCTGGGATTCCAGCAGACGAGAGCGAGAGCGAGGTTTAAGGGGAGTGAATGGAGGTTTGGCGAGGTTGATGAGGTTTGGAATCTTTGGCAGGGAGGGCAGAGGAGCTGTCGTCACTGTCAGAGTGGGGCGCTTCCTGTTCCAGGGTGCTAGAGATGAAAGGGGTGTTGGTTCCGTCCTGCATGACATGTTGATTTACTGTAACTAGGTGATTCTGTTACTAGGTGATGCTGGTAAGCTAGGTTGATTACTGTTACTAGGTGATACTTTTATAGGTGATGCTGTAGCTAGGTGATGCTGTATGCTTGGTGATACTGCACTAGGTGATATGTTAATAGTGATTAATGTTTCTAGGTGATGCTGTAGATAGGTGATACTGCAATCTAGGTGATAACTGTAACTAGGTGATACTGTTAATGAATGATATTATTACTGTTAAGATGTTTATAGGTGATACGTAATAGGGGTTATTTACTTAGGTGTACTGCATCTAGGTCGATACTGCAACTAGGTGGATATTATTACTGTTAAGTGTTTAATAGGTAAATCTGTAGCAAGGTGATAAGCATGAGTTATAGTTCGTAAATTAACGCTCAATTAAATCTATCTGTAAAGGTCACGAATCTAATATTTTTCTGATTTGGTAAAAAAATAATGTAAGATTTTAATCAGTAATTACCAATGTTTTTGAAGTTGTGGACTTTTCTATTGAGCTATACATATATATTCTGTTCTATGTTATTGAATAAATATTATAATAACGTCATTATTCAAAATCAAAAGCTTAAAAAAGAACGTAAAAAACCGGAACCACGGATGCGGCCGGTGGCAATTTCATGAAATTGAAATATGAAGATATGAACGGTTTGGGTCTTCTTTCTACGACAGAGAAAATTTAATTTCAAATAATTAGGACAAAAAAGAATTTACGATCTCATTTGGCCATATTGCATTTGCTATAGTTAGTACATTATAAAAACATTATTAAAAGAAGTTTCATTCTTGAAGTTAAATTAATCTGATGGTATATGTATAGCTAATATTTGGATAGAATCCAAATTCCACTTTTCAAAGGTCCTATAAACAAGCAACACAGATTTATAATTCCATATCTTTTGGTTGTAGCCATAATAGAAAATATAATTATACAGTATTTTCACTTGTACTTTTTACTATTACTTAGAAACTTTACTGATACAGGGGGGCCCCGAAAAACTGGAGTAAACCTCAGATGCCGTCATCGTTCGAGGTTCTACATTTTGCTTTGTTCACATGTTGCTATGTCACTACTTTTAACACTCATCTTTATTTTCATTGGTAGGAGTTGGCTTTGAGTTCCAGGTAATTCTCTCGACTTAGAAACATAATCAGTTGAACACTACTAAATTGGGGGTGGCCGCCTACCATACTTGTTCACAAACTGGGGTCTTTACCTAATCTTCTATCTCTTTCATCTTGGTGTTGCTAGGAAAATTTGTTGGCGTGGCAGACTTTTTTAAGAAGGTATAGCACCGTTCTCAGTCCTCTCTAAATCTTCATCTTGATGGCTAGGGATTGTTGTCGGGATTATTTGGAACAAACAAAATTAAACAACGAATCTTCTTGGGGAGGATGATGAGCATTCTTTGAAACAAAACTAGCATGGTGGAGCTGGTTAATTATAATAGTATATGGGGGGAGGATGTAATAAAGGGTTATACTTTAATAATAATTAAATTAAAATAAATAGGGTTTTAATAAACACTAAAGAGTTATGTATTATATATATATATAAAAAAAGGGATAAAAAAATTAGGGTATAAAATTAAAAAAGCTAAAAGGGGGTTGAGGTATTGTTATTAAAATTAATTTTTGTTTAGGTTGGGTAATGTTATGTTATGTGGGTAAAGTGGTATAAGGTTTGTTTAAAAAGTTTTTGGGGTTTAAAGTTGTGGTTTTTAGGTGTTAAAAAGTTAATATTTAAAATGGTGGTAGTTTTTAAACAAATAGTTAAAGGGGGGAGTATAAATAAATAAATTTTAATTATATAGGTTGTGTAACTTAAACTAATAATAATGTTGTAAGTGTAGGGTGGTAAAAAGGGGGGCGGCGGTAAAATTTAGGAGGTGTTGGGGTTAAAAGTTATTGTAAGATAAAATGAGGTTGTTAAAATTTGATGAGTAAAGGTGAGGAGGTTAGGTGTAATGAGTAGTAAATGGAGTTTAAGTAAAAAAAATAAAATAAAAATTAAATAAGTATTTGTGTATAATTTTGTAGGGTATTCAGTTTTAAAGAGATAACTAAAAAAAAAAAGGGTTTAATTATATTGGGGTAAAAATAATTAAAATTTTTGGTAATGTGGGGGTGCGGTACAAAGGGGAAAGGGGAAAAAAAAAGTAAAAAGGGGGAAATTTAAGGTTAAAATAAGTTGGGTTAAAAAGAATAAACAGTAGTTTATAAAAAGAATGGTGAGTATATGGGTAAAAAGTCGTATGGGGTTAGTAAAATAAAATTAAAATGTCAATAATAGGGGGTCAAAATAAAAAATAAAAGGGGGAAAAAAGGTAAAAGGAAAACCGGAGTAGGCTAAAGGGGATGTTAAATATTGTTAATTATAATAAAGGGAAAAGAAAAAAAAAAAAAAAACTACACTTCCCAACAGGAATGAATAAAATAAAAGGCAATACAAAATAAATAATTGTAAAGAGTAAATAAAAAAAAGGGTAATTAAAAATTTAAAATTTAATAAGTATTAATAAAGTTTTCTCTCTCTCTTTGTTCTGGTCAACGGTTTCTGGCCTCCTACTTTAAGAGAGAGAGGTCTTATCGCCGTGCCCACAGAATGCAACTCCTGCTAGCTGCACGCCAGGACTCCCAAAGTATTATATACGAAATCATAAAATAATAAATATCAATGCAACAGACCCCTGGAGTCTATGTGTAAGACGGTATGTTCTGTATAATATAATACAGAAGATACGATAGGGTATAACGTTATTTGGAGTGACTTGTGGGCGGCTCTTAATGAGAAGTTTAGGTAGATTTAAGATAAGTATCGAGATATTCAAATGATGATTGTAAAAATTTGATGATTATAGCTGCACTTGCTCTTAATCATTTTGTTTTAATTAACTATTGTTATTGGGGGAAGGAGAAAAGCCGGGGGAAATAGGGGTCCGCGGAAAATTAGGGTTTTTCGTAGTTCACATTTATTTCCACTATATCTTCAAGATGATACCTACCTTACTCGGCACTGTCTGATTCAGATTGTCCACATATTATATAATAATTGTACACGACGCTCCTGGTTATATCTAAATAAAACGTGAAGTTCTTCCCGATAAATTAGATTGTTCAATTAAAAGCGAAAGTCGGGGAAGCGAGACGACGAAATCGAATACGGCATGAATCATAAGTTAATCCATTACTGAACTGACAGCTGTTCGTTGAGCAATTCTGGCACGAATTACACGAGTTATTCAAGGGTTAGGTGTGTTTAGTGAATTCTGGCCCACCCTAATTGGGGGAAATGCCTCCGGTATATCGGTGTTTGTGGTAAATTGGGGTTATACTGTATTATTATTACAGTCGTCTGATTTCCCAACAAAAATTGAATACCAAAAAAAGAAACAAATAAACACAAACCTGGAATCCAGCAGAAGAGCTAGAAGCGAGGTTAAGGGGAGCTGAATGAGGTTTGGCGAGGTTGAGTGAGGTTTGGAATCTTTTGCAGGGAGGGCCAGAGGAGCTGTCGTCACTGTCAGAGTTGGGTCGCTTCCTGTTCCAGGGTGCTAGAGATGAAGGGGTGTTGCTTCCGTCCTGCATGACATGTTGATACTGTAACTAGGTGATACTGTTACTAGGTGATGCTGTAGCTAGGTGATACTGTTACTAGGTGATACTGTTACTAGGTGATGCTGTAGCTAGGTGATGCTGTAGCTAGGTGATACTGCAACTAGGTGATACTGTTAATAGGTGATACTGTTACTAGGTGATGCTGTAGCTAGGTGATACTGCAACTAGGTGATACTGTAACTAGGTGATACTGTTACTAGGTGATATTATTACTGTTAAGCTGTTAATAGGTGATACTGTAACTAGGTGATACTGTTACTAGGTGATACTGCAACTAGGTGATACTGCAACTAGGTGATATTATTACTGTTAAGCTGTTAATAGGTAATACTGTAGCAAGGTGATAGCAATGAGTTATAGTTAGTCAATAACGCTCAATTAAATTATCATGAATAGGTCACGAATCTAATATATTTCTGATTTGGTAAAAAAAATAATGTAAAGATAATAAATTCAGTAATACAATGTTTTTGAAGTTGAGGACTTTCAATTGAGCTATACAATATATTATGTTCTATGAATTGAATAAATATTATAATAAACGTCATTTTCAAAATCAAAAGCTTAAAAAGAACGTAAAAACGAACCACGGATGCGGCCGGTTGCAATTTCATGAAATTGAAATATGAAGAATGAACGTGTCTTCACTCTCCGACAGAGAAAATTTAATTTCAAATTAAGACAAAAAAGAATTACGATCTCATTTGCATATTGCATAGCTATAGTACATTATAACAAACATTATTAAAAGAAGTTTCATTCTTGAAGTTATATAATAGATTGTATCTAGTATAGCTAATATTTGGATAGAATACAAATTTCCACATTTCAATGGTCCCAATAAACATGCAACACAGATTTATAATTCCATATTTTTGGTAGGTAGCCATAACTAGAAATAACATAATACAGTAACTTTCAATTGTACTTTTTACTATACTTAGAAACAATACTGCTAACAGCCGAAACAGACGTAACCTCAGATGCAGCACCATAGTTCGAGTCTACATTTTCATTGTTCACATTGTTGCTATCACTACTATTAACCTCATCTTTATTTTCATTGGTAGGAGTTGGCTTGAGTCCAGGTAACTTACTCTCCGACTTAGTAAACAAATCAGTTGAAACACTACCTAAATTGGGGGAGGCGCCACCATACTTGTTACAAACTGGGGTCTTTACCTCAACTCTATTCTCTTTCATCTCTGGTGTTGATAGGAAATTTGTTGGCTTGGCAGACTTTTTAAAGAGGTATGGCACGTTCACAGTCCTCTCTAAATCTTCATCTTGAAAGGCTAGTGATTGTTGTGGATTATTTGGAACAACACCAATAAACGAATCTTCTTGGGAGGAGAGAGCATTCCTTTGAACAACAGCAGGAGGAGTAAAGGGGGCAGGAGAAGGGGAAACAGATTCAGCTTTTTTAACTGCAGGGTTTTTAACCGAGGTCGAGGTCGTTTTACTTGGCATAACATCATACTTGGATAATAAGCGTCCAACATCCATGACTTGTTTTACCTCTTCTAGGGGTTGGGATGGGATGACAAAAGGAGAATAATCTTGTTTAGGCATAATTGAGTAACGTTCCATCCTTTTAGCCAAACCTTGGCTCGACTCTATCGTAGAAGCCTTTTCTTCAGTTGTCATTTCCTTCTTATTTAAATATTTAGCAAATCGATCCTCGACATCAAATGTTGTTTTCTTGGCCCTGGTTGTATCACTTATCTGGCCTTCTTTTATATCCTTTGATGGTGAAGAAATAACATAAGTATTTTCCCCACGGTCTCCACCATATCTAGATAACCTCGCTGATTGCACACTGGATGCACTTTCAGGAGCATGGTTCTCTGTAAACTTCCTTTTGGCAGGGGTGTATTTTGCTATGAGAGCTTCACCTACAGTAGTGGAGCTACATGCAGATACTTTACTGCAAGGAGTAAAATGTGGAATCTTCTGTAAAATAGTTCCCATCTTTTTTGCAACTCCCTCTTCAGGTCTTGAAATGTTAAAAGAATTCAAGTCAGGGTAAGGGGGAAGTTCTTGTTTGGTAGGTTTGAAACCGTATTTGCTCAACTGAACTTCCCTTTTCTCGACTAAACTTTCCATACTTGACAGCAACTTTCTAAATTTCTCTGAGGTGGAAGACGCTGCATCAACTTGAGACTTTATGTTTGAATACTCAGTAGTAAGACTTGATAGAGTTCCCTTGACTACAGATCTGAAATAGTGTATGATAGTTAATAGATTAAATGGTTAGTTAATTGTGCTGATTCTAAATTTATCATCATCATATATAATATTGAATTTGACCACCATTTACTAAAGCCATTTAATTAGTTGCACTATTTAATAATTGCACTGCAACTTATATGATATTTTTGATCACAAACCTGAAGTTTTCTATAGTTTCCTTGCACTCAGGTGGCTCGGTGTCCTTTTCAAGATACTGTTCAAATTTGTCCAACTCCTCTGAGAATTTCTTAACATCCCTACCTAAAGACCGGATATCTTCCATGTCTAGAAAAGTGGGATTATATTATTAGTAACTTAACCTAGCCTGTTACCCAAATCTTACCAAACATAATATATCTTATGACTGAGTTTTCCTGGTAAATAAGGTGAAAGCAAATCAAAGCACAGTAAAGTTTAACTGCCCAGTGACACTATTATTAAATCGCAAAAATCAAAATAGCGAATTACATATTACTACGGTCTTTCATCCCCCCCCCCCCCTGGGGACGAGCAGGGGGGGGAACCGGACCGGGGTCTGGCCTTGCATTTTTGAGATGTCGTGCACCGAATGTTGGGGTTTGCATGTGGTTGCATGTGGGGCTTTGACTTGAACTGTGGAAGGTTGAAGGTCCCTTGGTTGGGAGTGCTGGCCGCGCCGCAACCCGGGGGATGGGACTTAGCGCGGTTGTTCCTTGGCCTTGGGCTGTCACCCGCGGTCCTGTTGTGCGGGATTTTGGTAAATTTGCCTCTGTTCTCGGGATGTGGGGTTGACTTCGGGGTTATGGTTAGGGTTAGGGTTGGGATTAGGGTTTATGTTGTATGTAAAACCGTTTTGTACGGCTGTAAAACCATAAAAACCAAAGTCACATGAAATTTTTGGGCGAGCGAATTAGTAAGAGCCACCCCGGCCGGCCCCTAGGTATGGTTCGTTAGGGTTAGGGTTGAGATTATGGTGTATGTTGCTCTAACCAGAGCCCCGTCGCTTGCAGTAACGTGCAACCGCCGAAGGTGACACAGGATTATATTACTTGTGAAAAAAACGCGTCACGCAGTACGCGTAGACTCATGGCTAGGTGAAGGGTTTATGTCAAATTTAACCGTTTTGTTCCTTGGCCTTGGGCTGTCACCCGCGGTTCTGTTGTGCGGGATTTTGGTAAATTTGCCTCTGTTCTCGGGATGTGGGGTTGACTTTGCCCCAAATTCGACATTTTTCGAAAAACTGTCAAGTTTGGGGTGGAGTTGGCCTTGTGTCTCGGGGGCAGGGGCGGATATCGGGGTTCTGTGCGATGGAGCTGTGGGTGGCAGCCAGGGAGCAGCTGTGCCGGGATTTGGCTTCTGGGTGTGGCCGGTGTTCCCGACTAGGGGACTTTTGGCTTTTAGCAGTTTGGGTTGGAGTTTTGCGTGTGATTGCGTGTGGACCTCAGTGTTTGGCGGGCGATGTCTTGAGGACGCGGGGTCGGTCGTCGGATTTCGGTCCGGTTTTTTGTTCATCTCCGGCGGCTCTGATCGGATGTGTGGGGACTGGAGGGTCGACTTTAGCCCCCATCCCCCCTCTGGCCTTAACTAACTCGTGGTTTAAGCTCTTATTTTATTTATGATTAAAGGAAAAGGAATGTAAAATAAAACTTATTGTTTCATTAATCATTGACATTAGTTGGTTGAGAATGCTCAACATTTAAACATAATGAAGCTTGACTGCTTTATTGACCCGGGGGGGGGGGGGGGGGGCAGAAATCCCAACACCAGTGTGTTAAGACATAATGTTGAGCTGCTATTGAGCCAGGATGTGTTAGATCCCAGAGAAGCCACCATCCCCTCTTTACTTAGCAAAATCTACATTTTTTTCATCAAGACACTTGTTTTACTTCGGTGTATTCCAACAGCCACATTGTTACACGAGTGCAACCAGCCAATTACAGGAAGCCGAAGGATTTATTTGGCCAGTGACGGTTAAGGTAATGTGTACCATACTTTCTTCGCCCGAGAAATTTCTGCAATGTGCAGCTCCTTATTTAACCCTCACACCACCGATTTCTCAAATATTCGGCTGAGTAGACCGGGGGGCTGCATAGACCACTCAGGATCATTAGCTGAATGTCGACGACGCTCACCCCACGAACTCACAATCTCACAATTTGCAAGGATGGCGTTCTAACCCACTGCGCTACTTGGCCGTTAAACACAATAAAAATTATTCAAACAATAAATCAAATCAAAATCAAATCAAAATATAATGACACAAACATCATCACACATCATCAAAAATATATCTACTAAAGTTTTAAAAATATCTTAAATCTATTGGCCTAAACAACCAAGATAAAATTAATCTAATTTACATACTTTCCACTACTATATAAGTTAATAAAGCGTTTCTTAGCAACATGAGGATTACACACAAGATATTCATTGTGCTTCTCTTTATTAGTAGCATAATTTAATCCCTCAATTTTTCCTAATACTTCGTCCGAAACATACCAAAAATGAATATCATTTACGGATCCGTTTAAAATAGTCTCTTTTTGAAAGCTTCTAATCTTATTTTAAAACTTAACACAGTCCCACAATTCTTGACATCCGAGGGGAGTTTGTTCCAATAAGGTCTCACCCTCTCCGGAAGAAAAGAACTGTGGACTTTCTTCATTTTACTGCTACTTTTACTGCATCTACTGTTTGATACCACATTAAAACCAGATCTGCTCATACTGAACAAACCAGCTCCGTAATTGGCCAAACCACTTATCATTTTAAAAGATTCAATGAGGTCCCCACGTATTCGCCGCTCTGCCAGCGTTGTTAAATTGAGGATTTCCAGTCGACGACTGTATGGAAGAGTACCCACCTCGTCAATCAGACGGGTAAACCGCCTCTGGACGCTCTCCAGCTCCAAGATGATCCCCCAACTTCCATGAGCCGCAACTGGACTCCACAATTGAACACAATACTCTAAATGGGGTCTTATTAAAGCTTTGTAAATGGATATCATCACAGATTTTTCCCTGATAATCAGATTTCTAACAATCCAACATATCATTCTGTTGGCTTTAGATATTGAAGCCTTAATCTGTTCATTCCAAAGCAGAGAGTTATGGGTTATAACTCCCAAGTCTTTTTCCTGTACAGATTCTGCCAATGTAACTCCATTAAGAGAATAACTTGATCTTGGGTTATCGTTAACATCTAAATGCATTACTGAACACTTAGTAGGATTAAACGTTAAAAGCCATTTACTCTCCCACATCTCTAGTTCGTTCAGATCATTAGCTATAGTTTCATGCTCGGAGGCATTAGCTATAAGCTTAAGATCATCAGCAAATATTTTAACTTTACTTTTAATGTTATCTGGTAAATCATTAATAAATAACACAAATAGTAATGGTCCAAGGACTGATCCCTGGGGAACTCCTGACCATACAATCTTCCACTCTGAAGTTTCACCTTCTACACACACTCTCATAGTTCTATTTGAGATAAAATCTGTAATTACATCTAAAACTTTACCAGTTATCCCTAGACTCTCTAGCTTGTTAATCAAGCGATAATGGGGAACAGAATCGAAAGCTTTACTAAAATCAAAATAAAATAAGTCCACAGGAGCACCTTCATCTATTAAATTAAGTATAGTGTCGAAAGTCTCCAAAAGATTTGACAAACAAGATTTTCCTTTAACAAACCCATGCTGGTCCTTTGAAATACGGTCTTCTAAAAATTCTAACACATGGGATCTAACAAACTGTTCATAAACTTTACAAAGAATACAAGTAAGAGAAACTGGTCTATTATAGTTAAGAGGGTCAGACTTAGAGCCCTTTTTAAAAAGTGCAACTACAGATGCCGACTTCCATACCTCCGGAAGATTTCCAGTATCACTACAGGCACTAAATAATTTAGTAAGAGCTGTTACAAAACTAGCATCTCCAGCTAGGGACTTAAGCATCTTTGGATGATGCCCATCTGGGCCGGTGCTTTTAAAAATATTAAGCTTTAATAGTTAGTACAGACAAATCCGTCTGAAAAAATCGATCTGCTGACACACGAAGCTTTCAGAGGATTTTTGACGTTTTTGAGTCCTAATAGATGCCCTCTATGGCTGACCAACTTTTCCAAACTTTTCCACTTTTCTTAAGGCCACTTTTTGCCACTTTACCACTTTTTACCACCTTTCTTGTTTGTCGAATATCTTTAGTTGTGAGCATCGTAAATGGTTGCGGATTAATCGAGTGTGTTTATATTACCATGAAGAAAAACTTTTGTTCTAACAATTTTTACGTCAGATAATCAGTTAATTGGATAATTATCAATTAGCTAATTAGCAAAATTCTAAAAATTTTTTATTGGCTCAAAATGATCGAAATAGCTTAAAACACGGAGAAAAGTAGTTTTTAGAAAAACTTTGAAAATTTTTCACTTACATTTTTTTTCGAGACTTGGAAAAATTTCGAAAATTCAAAATATTTTTTCCCGCCAAAAGTGATCAAATTGCATGAAACGCAGAGAAAAATGCTTTTCAAAAAGAATTAGTGAATTTTTCGTTTCAAGAATACTTAAATCACCAATATTTGTAGTTGGAGTTCAGTAAATCGCGGCAGATTTTAGTATTAGTAATCAGGAATTACTAAGTGGAAAGGTCTGAAACTAAAAACGTTAACCATACGATATGTAAGAGTTTCATAACTAATTACAATACAGCCTTATCGATTTTCACAGAAACTGCACCAATGGCCTGGCACAGTCAAGATCGAAAGACGAAACGATAGCCTGCTGTACTATCATTTTATTGATTTCAATGATGAATCAGTGGGGTTAAGATAATCACATTTGTAATAAATAAAACCTCTTTGTACCGTCAATTGTGCTAATCTAAACCGGCCTACCTGGATTACCAGACCTCTTCTTTTCCTCAACAATCAAACCAAGTTGTTCATATCGCATTTGGTGGGCGATGTAAGTACATATCGAGCTGTATTCAATCACAATACGACACAATACGTGTATATGGTTTATATAACGCTTAATACTGTGAGAAACCCGGTATAGAGACGTTTTACAGTTTATCACGAAAACGTATACTTGGCCTCATGGCTCATTTACAGTTCGAAGAAGGCAAAAACAGACCAGGGAAACTAAGGAACAGCCAGGTCCAGGAAGCAAGTGCAAATACACCTTCCAACATCTACTGTTACTTGTTTTGTATTGTACTGCATACCGCTTCATTTGCTATGGGGGATAAAATCACCCCCATATGTCAGGGTCGGCTAAAAGTAAAATCAGCAAGGGTAACATACGGGCA